ATAGAACCCTTCAATGCATTAATCCACATATCTTCCATAGGCAACAATGAAGTTCAAAGTTAGCATACATTTCACATAAGTGTCTTTGGCCCTTGGCCTCATTACAACCACATTCTAAGAGTGTCAAAAGGTGGACTTAAGTGCACATTACATAACTTAGACAATAAGTACAAGTTTTATCAAAGTAAGCAAAAGTAGGACAAGATATGCTAACATATACATATTCTATGTCATCAAAAATACTTTAAGAACTCTAGTGAGTCTAAGAATGCTGTGCATCCCACACTAAGGCTTCTTTACCTGCAAAACACCCATTAACTTAAGGGTGAGTAAACAAGTTTACTCGTAGGGAATGCATGGGTTTATCTTTGTACCAAGTTACAATCTAATACCATTTAATTCATGCTATCAAGTGACAATAGAACTTTCAACATAACACAATGAGATGTAATTTTACAAAGTTAACAACTTGGAATTTAAATGCAAAATCAAACCAAAGTGGATACTTGGACATCAAGCCGGATCAAATCGACAATGTGGTTACTTTAGGGTTACTAGCACATGGGTAACCTCCCTATGTGCGCACTAGACTTGTAGAGGGACTTTCCCCCGTACTAGAACCATGCCCTAGCCATAGTCATAACAATGACATCTCCAAGTTTCCAAAATCAACAATTTGTGCACATTACATATATGTATCAACATAACATATATATATACAATGTAAAGCCATCAACATGCACAAATCAATTTTGGAAACACAATACATGCCCTAAGTTCTCAACTAAAATGGCATGAAGAATATTGAATGATCATTATGCAATTTGCCACTAATTACAACAATATCATTCAACAACAAGAACATAGCCTCACAAGTATGATATAAGTTTAAAATCATAATTTAAACAATTAAATAAAACAACTAAATTTCCTAGATTTCACTTCTCATCCAAACATGCTCAATTTAATATATGTTGTAGTACATGTCATGGTTATTATATAAATCACTTCAAAACTTGATTTAAGTCATGGAAGCATATAAATAAAAATTAATTAAATTAATTCATTAATCCCTCTAGATTTTAAAACAACTTTAAATGACCTCAAATTAACATAAGTTATGAATCAAGCCAGGGTCATGTTATTTATTAAGTCTAAAGTGAATTACATACAAGTTACAATTAATCATTTATTTCTCATTTTAATACAAGACAAACATATAACTTAGATATCACTATAGGAGCAAATAAAATCAATTGGAAGATAAATGATAACACCCCCTACCTCAATAGAGAATTGAATCTCTATAATCTGAGCAACCAAGCTCAAAATGGAAAACAAGTTTAGGGTTAATGAAGAGGGGAGTGAGAGGAAGCTTTTGTCTTCCAAGGTTTTATGTTTAAGGTGAGTGGAAGGAGGCCAAAATAAAAAAGAAAGCTATTAACCAAGTTTTTCTTCAATGGTGGCTAGGTTATGGTTCTCGAAGACAAATGAAAATGAAAATGATAAAGTGTAAAATGGTGAGTGGAAGGGCTAGAAATCCTCCACTCACTATGTGCTCTTACACTACCCCTCTCACACACACAATGCAAGACTAAATGGTGAACCTACACTTGTCATGAATCTATGGTTCATTCCTAGACTTAATCTCAAGCCTACACTTGTCACCATCCTATGTAAACTTCCAAGACTTAATATTGAACCTACATTTGTCAACCATCTATGCCAACAAGCGTACCAATCCTAGGCCAACAAGTGGGTGAATCTCCACCTTCCACATGTCATCATCCAAGGCATCAAAGTGTTTCCACACAAATGTCAACAAGTGGACCAATGAGAGTGTGACACTTGTCACACTTTCCGAAAATTGCAAACAAGTCCTTTTTGAAAATATCTTCCAAATTAAATTACAAAATGGTCCCTAAGACGAAAAATAATTACTTTACTTAATTACCCAAAAACCTCTCAAGTTATGGATAATTACAAAAAGTCTTATTTTCATGACTTTTACAAAGAAAGTAAGCATTTAATATGCATTTCTGCAAAAGTAAAAATGTAGATGTCATGGAATTTAAATATCATGGACGTATGCAAAACTGGAATCAAATCCGAGCACAAAAAATGAGGTTATGCAAGTAAAAGTGAAAAACGAGAAAATGACGAAATAAGGAAAAGACGAAAAAATGAATAGTGTCAAAAAACAAAAAAATGTGAAAATGACTCGGTCCTCAAAGGAAGTTGTTAATTCAAAGGAAAGAGTCTCAGAAACCATTTCCGAGCATTCGAGACGACACTAAGAGGCGGGAAATCGAACCCGAAAAGGAAAAGACAATGAAAAAAAAAATTTATCCGCAAAATTTGAAGAAAGGGAAAGAAATGAAAATGACCGGGTCATTACATTCATATTCAGCTCCCGCTGAGTGAACAAATACTACAGACTCCTGTGATCACTAAATAATCTGAAGGACTCTCCTAACAGATAATTAAAATGAGTCTAAATTGTATGGGAGTCAAAATGGTATATCTTTCTCTGCGAGTCAGGCTGAGGGTCGACTCGACGGGCCCTGAACTTCATCCACCAAACCAAGAACCTCCTTGGATCCCAAGTAATCCTGAGTCCTATTCCTGACTTAGGTCTTCTAGTCTTCGATCTTCAGTTTGATGTATACTGATGACATGGTAAGTGCCACGTAACTTTGATTGTTGGTTGTTTGATCATTTGACTTGTAAGCCATCGTTGATAATGTAATGTAGTCCGTTGACTATTTGACCAAGCTTTGTGGGCCATTATTGATGATGTGGCATAGTCCGTTGACCATTTGACCAAGAAATGTGGGCTATGTGAAGTGGGATATATTCAACACCTACCAAACTTTTATACTTTTTTTTTTTTTTTTAAAAAAAAAGATTACATTATAAATATATTTATGTTTTCAGTGTTTATATATATTTAATGGTTGAATTTTATCCCTGTAAGACTTAAATTTGGTTGGTAAAAGATACTAAGTTAAATAATGTTATTCTTACCTACAAACTCTTTTGTAAGATTTTAGTTTTATCTATCTTATTTAATAATGTATTCATATCTTTTCTTTTCTCTTTTTCTCAAATATATTTTCGTTTCACAAACTTTTATTTTATAATTAAATTATATTGAATAAATATTATAAATATGATTGCTTTTCGTTTTATTTAAAATGAACTATTTAACTTTTATAATAATTATTTTAAATGATTCCACGTGTATCGCACGAGCTATTATACTGAATATATTATTAAAAGTTCAGGGGGTCAAGGTGATTCAAATTGTTCATAAATAAAACAAGTTACCAATTAAAATAAAATAGATAATTGTTTAATAAAATAATTTACCAAATAATAAAACAAGTTAACAATTAAAATAAAATAGGTAATTGTTTAATTAAAAATTAATTTTTACCTTATTGTAAACTAATTTATTAGATTTTATTAAAATTACAAGGGGTCAAGGTATATCAAATCATTTATAAATAAAATAAAAATAATAATTTACCAAAGAATAAAATAAGTTATTAATTAAAATAAATCTTATTATACTCGAAATTATTCTTCTAAACTTTTGATTGCAATATAATCGCTCAAAAACTACACATATAATTCAAATTTAAGTGCTTTTGTGCCCTATGAGAAGAATTAAACGTAAGACATTCGAACTTACTACTCGTGCCAAGAGACTCATTATTCACTAGTCATCCTTGTAAATTAATCTTGATATATTATTCTCTCCCAAATGCAAGATGACACTCAACAAGCCTTTCGAAATAATAATTCTGCCAAAAACAAACAAAATATCATAAATTTGGGTTATTATATATTGAATTTGTCAGCCCAAACCCAAACCCATATTATTTAGATTTGCAATTTTCTAATCCAAGACGACCCGGTCTTCAAAAACCAGCCATGCGAAGCGTTTGAATACAGTTGATTTCTTCGTAGTCGCCTTCCCACTTTGAACAAGACTCGCTCTGTATAGCGCGTATGTGGAAAATAGTAGGATTAGGTGTTAAGGAGTAAAACCAAAAGACTAAAATATTTTTAACCCCACCCACTTGAGCTTTTTATATGCGTGAGAAGCTTAATTGACCATTTGGGAGGCCAAATTAGCAATACAAGATTAAATTTCAAAAATAAAATAAAATAAAATAATTGTATATATATATATATATATATATATATATATATATATATTTCTTACAATTCATTTTTTAATGTATATCTTTAAGAGCAATTCTATAAATGAAACAATATTAGCAAAAAAAAATAAAGAGAAGAGACATGTAAGTGTTGAGCATACTTTTTCTTCTCTCTTTAATTTATAATAAATAATATATATATGAATAGATTATAGAGTTGTAATATACATGTTGTATCTAGGAAGAATTTGCAATAATAATAAAAATGTTTTTCATGAGATGTAATATTTTAAAAGCATGTTAACCACTTTTAATAACCAAATAGGTCACCAGACTCACCATAAAAACGAAATTTTTAAGAGTTTGGGAGGTCCAACTAATTTAATTTTCCTACACAATATCACTATTAATAGTCATAAATATATAGCAGTAATTGAGTTTAAATTAACTATCATTGTCTGGTCTAACCAAAGTGATACAAAGCGGGAGCAGAAAAATTAAGTTATGACAATTTGAGCGAAAGTGTGACCTGTTAAGAAGAATTACGTGATTTAAAGTTTACCATTTGAAACGAGTGCACCACTAGTTTTATTCTAGAAAGACAGACACCGTGGCTGTAACGATTATGTATGTGCATGTATTTCCTCACTCGGTTTTGATCACATGGTTACGGTCAATTCTCTCTTCTCTCCAAGAATTTAGAATTTAGTAATTTGCTTTAATATATATATATGCAAAGTCGATCCACGCCACATGTATGGAAATTTCCGTATCATAAGATATTGGTGGTCTGCTATGCCTATAAAAAAAGGACCCTTGCTCCTCAAACATTTCATACTTTGATTACATCATACGTACTCTCTCTCTCTCTCTCTCTCTCTACATATCTCTCTCTCTCTAGCAATTTTATTTCACACACTAAATCTCTCTCTCTCACACACACATTTAATTAAGATCATGAAGGTTGAAGTACAGAAAAGATATGCTTTGCTACTAGCAGCAAAGGATTCTGAGTATGTGAAGGACGTGTACGGTGGCTACTTCAATGTGTTTGTTGCAGCTTTCGGCGAAGAAGGAGAGAGGTGGGACTTGTTTAGGGTTGTTGAAGGAGAGTTCCCGGACATGAATGAGCTCCAAAACTATGATGGCTTTGTGGTCAGTGGTAGCCCTTTCGACGCCTATGGCAATGACCCTTGGGTTCTCAAGCTTTGCTTTCTTTTGCAAACCCTAGACTCCATGCATAAGAAAGTCCTTGGTATTTGCTTTGGACACCAGGTAAAATTTATATATATAGTAGTACTTTTCACATTGTGTATATAATTAATTCATATTGTGTTTACTACTAATATAGACAGTATTTGATATATTCATTGAAAAGAAACTAATCCATGGTGTTATATATATATATATATAGGTTTTGTGCAGATCATTGGGTGGAAAAGTTGGGAAGGCTAACAGTGGTTGGGATATTGGGCTTAGAAAAGTGAAAATTGTGAAAGATTTCTCCCCATGCGGTTTCCTTGAAGGCTCAGAAGAAATCCCAGCATCCCTTTCGATCATTGAATGCCACCAAGATGAGGTATGGGAGGTTCCTGTGGGTGCTGAAGTGATTGCATATTCGGATAAAACCGGTGTGGAGATGTACACCATCGGAGACCACATTTTAGGGATTCAAGGTCATCCAGAGTATACCAAGGACATTCTTAACAATCTCATCGATCGTCTTCTCACAAACGAATCTATAGAGGTACGTATTAGTTTTTCATATAACTTCATTTCCCTTTCCGTTGAGCTCATTTTGGTTACTTCATTAATTATTACTTGCAGAAAGGTCTTGCTGAAGATGCCAAGGCAAAATTGCAGATAGCCGAACCAGATAGGAAGTGTTGGGGAAAGATTTGCAGAGGCTTCCTCAAGGGCAGATGGAATTAACTAGCTAATTAATTGCAAATATAACCAAATCACTTTTGTTTTGATATCTTTATTCGTTTTATATAACCACCTTGGTTATATGGTATTTACTAAAAAAATAATTTTTAAATTTACAAAAATAGAAAACTTGGTTACATATGTATACTCTTTGATCCGATAATGAAGAAATAAATATTTACAATAGCATTGCTTCTACATTAATATATCATGTGTGTCCATTACATTTGTCTTACAAGTTAAACCTAGGAGAACCATTTGTGAAATTCCAGCAACTTGTTCGGATATATAATATGCCAAAACATGGTATGAAAGGGATGGTCGATCACTCTGCCATTCATTTGAGCAAACAATTTACACAGAATAGTTGGAGTGAGAGAAACTTGACTGTGAACGATGATTTTGCTACCATAATGAAGAAATTTTTTAAAATTTCAGACAAAAAATTCCACTATAAACATTATGAATAGGATTTCAAATTGTTGGAAAAAAAAAAAAAGAAAAAAAAAAGATTGAGAAATTAACTATAATTAATGTGGGTTCCACCGAAGTACATTTTTGTGCAGTTTTTTCAATGGTAGGCATGAAGAAAAATTCTTTTGAGATGTAAAAATTCTAGGGTCCAGCCAACTTAGACATTTCTTATGTTTAAATTTTAATTAATCAATAAGACGAAAAGAAGAAGATTGACTGGTAGAGAAAAAGTGCATACTGGAAAAGGCACACCATGTATACCGAATGTGAACACCAGTAATAGAATTCTAAATAAGAGAGTGGGTACAAGTCTCTTTCTCATTATTATTATTTTTTCTAATTGTTATTTATACATCATGTCCTTACCAAAATTCAAATTCCTTATCTTTTAAAGTAGGGACTAATTATCGAAAAAAAAAAAAAAAAAAAGTAGGGACTTGGAACCGATAAACCTCTAACTCCGTAGTATCTCTTTCTCATTATTCTTGTCTGATTAGTCGAAGACTATCATAAAATTTTAAATTTCTTAAAGAGGGTTTGATATCATTTATTTATTTTTAGTTGGACATGCCGAGTGCCAAAAGTGCAAATATATGATCAATTGCCGGACAAAAAATCCACGACTGTGATCACTTGGGCTCTTATTAGACTATGATCACTTGGGTTCTTATTAGCAAATATTTTCTCTTGCGCGCCACATATTTGATAACCGGTTAGATACATTTGAAGGGTACCGGATACGTTTTTCGAAACATGTCCAATATTGGAAACATTAATTTGTTGGTGTTTCATGATATTTTGGCAGTGACACACCGTAGCTCAAACATTGTAGCATGCTTTTTTAAGCGGTAATTTTGTGAGACTGCAATATTTTGACATTATCAAATATGTTTTTATATTTTTACTTTTGAAAATCTTGTAACAGTTAGATTTTAGACTTTCAATTACAAATAAACACAGAACAATAAAAATATTGTTTTTCCTTCAAATGAAATGAAAACGCAAAACAACAACGATTACAAATGGTGAAATTCCAGCTATAAGTTGCTTTATACAGTATATCATGTGTGTCCTATACACGTCTTAAACCTTGGAGAAGCATTTGTGAAATTCCAGCAACTTGTTCGGATAATTGGCATTCTTTCTAGATTGGATGAATGAGGAAAATGTTTTCCGGATAATATGCAAAAACATGGTATGAAAGGGAGGGCCACTCTGCCAGTCATTTGAGAAAACAATAACGACACAATATATAGTTGGACTGAAAGGAAATTGACACATGAAAAATTCTACCATTATTAATAGGATTGAGATACTAAAATTAATATGGGTTTCACTGAAGTACTTGATTTAATGATATAAACATTTATTTGGATTCAAAATGGTAAATGATCTCCTTGGGCCCAAATGTAATATATATATATATATATATATATATATATATATATATATATATATATATATATTGCTTCAATGTTCGGAAAATAAAATGGTAAATGATAAAATCTCACTTGCTTACCTAAAAAATACAAAGAAAAAAATATATATAAAACCTCACTTGAACTTTTTGGTTTTTTAATAATCAATCCACTTGCTGCCCGGTCACTTTGAACTTTTGGAACAGTTTGTAAATTCTATATGCAAGCAATATTTATTTGTATATTACGTTCATCATTTAAATTCAATTAGTCACTTTTAATGATATTCGAACTCCTAAAGAGAGTACGCTGATCTCTCGAAAATTATATCATGCAAATAGGGATGGATTTAAAAATTTATATGAAGAGGTGCAAATTTATAGAGAGGATAAGGAATTTTTTTTTCTTATTATTATTATTATTTTTTTATAATTTTAATGGGAACAATGTCAAAATTTAATAAGTATAAATATAAAAAAATATAAATTTAAAAATATAAAACACAATAACAAAAATTTTAATGGGACGGACGCTCCCACTGAGCTCACAGTAAATACAACCCATCATGCAACTTTGTTTATAATATTATATACAGTGCCTTGACTAACCTTTTTTTGCAATTTTTCAACGGTATGCATGAAGAAACATTCTTAGTTTCTATGTTAAAATTCTTGGGTCTAGCCAAATTAGACATTTCTCATGTGATTAATTGGTCAAGAAGAGGAAAAGAAGAATATTGACTTGTAGAGAAAAAGTGCATACTGGAAAAGCCCACACGATACAGAAACACAGAAGTCAATAATATATATAATATAATATAAGAACATTTGAATATCACCGGAACCTTCTTTAATTAAAGAACAATGGTACGAATGTGAACACAATTTAATGCAATGGTATGAATGTGAACACGAGTACGTAATAGAAGTCTAAACAAGAGATACGTGGACGCGACCCGGTTAGAGCCGGATCCTGGCACAATTCAAGGTTAACACAACTAAAATAAGTTATCAATTAAAATAATAAAATAATTTATCAAAGAGTAAAATAATTTATCAATTAAAATAAATCCTATTATGTTTCAAGGTTAACACAACTAAAACAAGTTATCAATTAAAAATAAATAAAAATTGTTTAATAAAATAATTTACCAAATAATAAAACAAGTTACCAATTGAAATAAAATAGGTAACTGTTTAATTAAAATTTAAATTTTACCTTATTGTAAACTAATTAAATTTCGTTTTACAAGTTAACCACGATATTAACAAAAAAAAAAAAAAAATTATTTTCGTTTTACAAGTTAACCACTACTATATTAAAAAAAAAAAAAAAAAAAAAAAAAAAATCCTTTATTTTTATTTATACATTAATTTACTTTTTTCAATTTTAACCTAATATATTTATTATTTATTTACTTTTTTCCCTTTCTATACCTTTCTTAATTCAAATTATGTTTGGACTCTTCCAAGTTATTACAACCCTGAGATTACTTGGATTTCGGCTTTGCCATAGAAGGCAAAATTGACGAGTTCGTTGAGCGCTACGAGTTGATCGGAACGGATTTTCATTTGCGCCACCTTTGCATTTTTGAAAATAGGGGATTTTTGAAGTATTTGCTCTTCATTTGAGGTAGAGATTCCTAAACCATGCAATCTTTGATTATAGTGAGTTGGTTCTTTTGTATTTGCAATCTAGCATGCCTAATTGTAGTAATTGTTCATGGCCATTATGGTTTAGATGTATGTGTATATGTGAGAAGCATGATTGTTGCAATACTACGTGTTGAATTGCATGTTTAAGCTAATTGTTGTGAAGATACGTGTTTAGTCGATTTTTCTATGTGTTGAATTGCATGTTTAAACCACTTGACGTAAAATTTCCACACGTTCGATCACAAACCGGTCGACGTGAACCACACTAACCAGTCAAAGTGTAAGGGTACGTTACATGTCGACCGGTTCTTGAGTGTTTTACCATTGTGGTTTATTATCTCTACTTTGCCCTTTTCCACTCACTCATGTATATTATTACACATTATGTGACCAGAATATTACATTAATTATATTTTGACCCCGAAAATAACTGTATTATCCCCGGACTTCACCTTATTCATTTTACGACTCAAATAAATGACTATTGTACCCTTTTGGGTCTTAAATCATTATAATTATGCTAAATGATCACTTTGTCCTTGTTGGGCTTTAAAGTAGTAATTTAACGTGAAATGACCATGTTACCCTCAAATGATTTCGGGTTGGGTAAGGATCCGATTAGCGATCCGGATCCAGTGGACTTGGGTCATTACAGCTATGTGGATGGCAACCCATGTTGGGTTTTTTCTGCATAGCGACCTACAGGTCGTCGTGGGATAGAATACCAGGTCATCGCTGGCGATCTAGTTCACGCTGTGAGGAACAACCACCAAGGTCGTTGTGTTAGCGACCTTAGGTCATCACGTGGAGAACGGTTGGGTCACTATTAGCGTCACAATGCAGATGGAGAGGGACGACGACCTTTTTGTATTGAACTTATAAAAAATAAACTATCACATCATGTGGACCGTCATGGACAAAGTTAATAATTAATTAACTACCAATACAATAAAAAATATTAAAATGCACCCTCTTAAAAAATTAGATCATCAAAAAGGAATATTTAATTCGAGACGGGGGGTGTATTATATTTGTGAGATTTTCGTACACTTATAGAATAAATCTCCACAAATTTTGTTTTTTGTTTTTGAGCACAAAAATAACTACTAGTCAATATTTCAAACATTCTTTTGTTGACAAAGAACAATGAAAAATTTCTTTTATTAATAGAAGAGATTAAAGTTCCTAAGTTCATGCATTTATTGTTTAACATAAAAACCTATAATTTCCCACAAAATAGGCATTTTATATGCCCCCACTATTTTGGTACATTAATTTACGCTTGGTTATGGTTGGTGATTTTTCTTCATATTGAATTATTCATTATTGAAAAAAAAAAAAAAAAAATTATTCATTATCTATTCAGAAATTATTTTTCTCATTTTTCAATGTTCCGATGTTTAGCGGAAAATATTTTCATTTCTCTGTAAGACTCCTGGGTTCGGAAATTATTTTTCATATAAATCATTTTACCCCCAAATGACTGAAAATGATTTACCAAAACAATTTCGTAAGTCATTTTCCACAAGTTACCTTGGGTCATCTAACCATCCGTATTCTTATTGAACCCCTCTAACAACGAATTTTTTTTAGTCATCCCAATCTAAAAATCTAATCTTCAGTCGTCTCTCTCTATATGTATATACATAAAATTCTCTATATGTATATACATGGAGTGAGAGAAGAGAGAGATGGACACAAATTTGGATTA